CCGGGAGGGTCCCTGGCACCGGGAGGGTCCCGGCCCCGGGAGGGTCCCCGGCCAGCCCCGTTCCTGGCCGCCACCGCTCCGTGCCCAGCTGGCCCCCGCCCGGCCGCGGAACGCTAATTATTGAGCTAATTATTAAATAAAGTGTATTCACCCGACAGCTCTGCGTGTGCTGGCGGGGCTTTATCGCCTTTCTCAGCTGTTCGTGGGCACAGCTCCACTGGGCACTCTGGGCACCCCTGCCACCCTCACAGGGAACAATTCCTCCCTAATTTCCCCTTACCCCCAGATCACCCTCACAAACCAGCACACACAGAGTGGGCTCTGCCCTTTAAACTTTCAGAAAATCACCCTCAAAGCCATTTGCCACCTGCGCAGCAGACACAGCAGCATCACAGCTGAAGATCTTTCCTATTCATGCACTTGGCTGTTTTACTGCCTTTTGCAGCCCATGTATTCCTCAACAGGGATATTTTTTAGGGGTAAGAGCCACCCAGCAAACTGCCAGTGTTACCCCCATGGTGATGGCCCAGAGGATAAACCAGAACCATCAGCAGTGGCTGGAAAACGGAACCTTTGCCAGCCCTGCTCTCTCCAGATCTGGCTATGAGCTGCACAACAGAGTGCTGCTCAGTAAACCCTTGTGCAGCAGCAAGGAAGGGAAGGGTTGCTCTGGTTTAGGCGTGGGTGGGGAGAGAGGAATGTCCACTGGTCCAGGATGTCTGCTCTGAGGGGACACTGCTGTCCCAGGGCAGCCTCCAGACCCTGCACCACTGCTCTGCCCAGCGCCTTCCCTGCAGCTCTCTCAAATGCACTCCTGACTCTCCTGGCAGGCCAAGGGTGCAAAGGGACAGCCTAAAGTCCAAAGCCACACGCTTCATTAGGTTAATGTTTGCTAAATCACCGGCAGGGCAAAGAAAAGGTCCAACAGCAAACTTGTGTGAGATAAGAGCCAGCTCAAAACTTGCCAGCCCTGTTTGCGAGCTCCAGCCACCTCCACCTCCCCGCGGGGCTCCTCTGGTTCCTGCCTGCACCTCTGCAAGGGGATGGGGTTGCTCCTGAAGATTCTCATCCCTTTGCTGGGAGCAGCACTGGCCTTTTATTTTTATTCAGCACCCGAGGACTTCAGCGAAGGTAAGCCGGGAGCAGCAGGCGCCACAGGCACCGCCAGAGGGGCGCGTGTGCCGTGCAGGGAACCGGCCGGGCCTGGCAGAGCCAGGGAGGGCTCAGGGCCGGCAGGGGAGGTCACACCGCCCCAGGCAAGGGTCAGAGCCCGGGGAGCTCACCGAGCTGCACTGGCTCTGCTGGGCACAGCCTGACCTCTGGGAATGACTTATTCGGGAAACGAGCAGTTTTAAACATTCCATCCTTTACCGGCCAGCTCTCCCCGCTCCCTGGGCAGGCTGCGTGCAGAGCTGAAGCCTCCCCGCCACACTGGGACTGGGGATCAGACTGCAGCGGGGTCTGACGAGGCTGGCAGGGCACGGAGGAGCCGCGGTGCCCGCGGGCAGAGGCACAGCAGGGCTGTGCCAGCCCTGAGCCCTGCGCCCTCCTCTGCAGAGATGCTCCGGGGCAAGCGGGTGATCGTGACGGGAGCCAGCAGCGGCATCGGCGAGCAGATGGCATATCACCTGGCCCGCATGGAGGCCCACCTGCTGCTCACGGCACGGACCGAGGCCAGGCTGCAGAAAGTAAAGGGCGAGCAGGGCGTGCTGGGCTGGGCGCGAGGTTCCCCCCAGCCCGGGCACGCCGGGCACCCTGCAGACCCTCCCCAGCGCTTCCCCAGCGCCAGCCCGGCCCAGGAAGGAGCAGCCTGGGCTGGGGCTCCGTGCAGGGGGTCCATCCCAGCCCGTTGTGCCCGCAGGTCGTGGAGCGGTGCCTGGAGCTCGGCGCTGCCTCCGCCCGCTACGTCAGCGGCTCCATGGACAGCCCCAGCCTGCCCCAGGAGCTGCTCAGGGAGGCTGAGAACACCTGGGGTAGGTGCTCTGAGCTGCCCATGGGGTCCAGGCTTTGTGGGGGCTCCCGGGATGAGTGGAGAGATGTGAATCTTGACTCCATGTTTCAGCAGGCTGGTTTATTATATTATTATATATATTATATTAAAAATATAAATTATATATATTATATTATATAAAAATTATATTAAATTAAAACTATACTAAAGGAATAGAGAGAAAAGGATTCATCAGAAGGCTGGAAAGAACAGGAATGGGATGATAACAAAGGCTTGTGACTCTCAGAGTCCGATGCAGCTGCATCTGTGATTGGCCATTAATTAGAAACAACAACCTGCCCCAATCCCAGCTGCACCTGTTGCATTCACAGCAGCACACAGTTATTGTTTGCATTTCTTTCCTGAGGCTCCTCAGCTCCTCAGGAGGGAAAAATCCCAGCACAGGACTTTTCATAAGATATCACGGCTCAGCCCTGCTCACCCCGCAGCCTGCAGGAGGTGCTGGCTGGGAGGTGCCAGCGGCTGGTGGCACCCCTGCTCTGCCCCCAGGTGGCCTGGACATGCTCATCCTGAACCACATCGGCCAGAGCGGCTTCACCTTCTTCAATAAAAATTATATTAAATTAAAACTATACTAAAGGAATAGAGAGAAAAGGATTCATCAGAAGGCTGGAAAGAACAGGAATGGGATGATAACAAAGGCTTGTGACTCTCAGAGTGTGATGCAGCTGCATCTGTGATTGGCCATTAATTAGAAACAACAACCTGCCCCAATCCCAGCTGCACCTGTTGCATTCACAGCAGCACACAGTTATTGTTTGCATTTCTTTCCTGAGGCTCCTCAGCTCCTCAGGAGGGAAAAATCCCAGCACAGGACTTTTCATAAGATATCACGGCTCAGCCCTGCTCACCCCGCAGCCTGCAGGAGGTGCTGGCTGGGAGGTGCCAGCGGCTGGTGGCACCCCTGCTCTGCCCCCAGGTGGCCTGGACATGCTCATCCTGAACCACATCGGCCAGAGCGGCTTCACCTTCTTCAGCGGGGACGTGGGCCACGTCCGCAGGCTCATGGAGACCAACTTCATCAGCTACGTGGCCTTGGCCACGGCTGCCCTGCCCATGCTGAAGGAGAGCCAGGGCAGCATCGTGGTGGTCTCATCCATAGCAGGTGAGCCCCGGGGCCCTCAGCCTGCCACGGATCCCTGTCAGGACTCTGCTGCAAAAGGCAGAGCAAGGACCACAAGCAGAGCTGGTGATTGGGGTCAGAAGGTGATTGAGGATCTTTGGTGAACAACTCAAATCCTCTGGGAAATTCATCTTTTGTGCTGTCAGTGCCTTGGCACCCTCTGATCACCTCCACATGCTGCAGTGCAGGTGATTTCACAGGCATGGCACACATTTAAAACACACTTGCAACACATGGGCATCTCTGCGGGGATACAAGAGCAGTATCAGCTGCTCTGGGAGGCCCCTTGTGCCATATTTACATTTTAAACATTCCTGAGTGTGTTTTATCCCTCAGGCATTCATGACAGCTTATCCCAACACCCTCAATCCCAGCACAGTAGCTACTGGCAGGGCAGGAGGAGGGGAGAGCCGTGCAGCCTGGTGCCTGCCCAGCCCCTGAACCCCAGCACGGTGTCCCTGCTCCAGGTAAAATTGCCGGCCCTTTCACTGCTCCCTACTCTGCCACCAAGTTCGCCTTAGATGGATTTTTCAGCTCCTTGAGGCAGGAACTCATCATAGACAAGGTGAACGTCTCCATCACGCTCTGCATCCTGGGCTACATCAACACAGGTAAGCTCAGCCCTGCCAGGACCCTGCAGCTCAGCCCTGCCAGGACCCCCGGCTCAGCCCTGCCTGGCACAGCCCAGCTGAGCCCACCCCAGCCCCTGGTGCCAGCCTGCTGTGCCGCTGCTGCTGGAGCATCCTCCTGCAGCCTCTGCAGCTGGGAAACGCCACCCCAGCCCTTCCAAAAGCGTGGCCTGAGGCCTTGGACTCTGCCAGGCTCGCAGTGAGCTCAGGGGAGGTCCTGGGGCCTCTCAAGGGAAAGGAAAGGAAAAAGGAAAGGAAAAAGGGGGAAGGGAAGGGAAGGGAAGGGAAGGGAAGGGAAGGGAAGGGAGAGAATTGTTATTGTCACTGTTCTGAGCCTTGTTAAACAGGTCTGATGCCCAGAGCTGGTGGGTTTGGGGGTGCCCCAGACACCCCAGTGGGCTGATGGTGCCTGTCCCTGACTGGTCCCTGTCCCCGCTGCAGAGAGCGCCGTGCGGGCCGTGTCACACGTCATCCCCGACACGCCGGCCCCCAAGGAGGAGTGTGCCCTGGAGATCATCCGTGCCGGGGCGCTGCGCCGCCGGGAGCTGCACTACCCGGGCCGCGCCGTGGGCAGCATGCTGCTGGCCCGCAGCCTCGCCCCCGAGCTCCTCGAGGCGCTCGTCCGCAGCAGCTACCGCCTGGAAAACGTCCGCAGGACGTAGTCCTGGGCTGCGCTGGCACCTGGGCCCAGCAGCACGGCTCTGCCTCGGAGCCCAGCTCCTCTCCTCACCCTGGGGCATCCCTGTGCTGGCGCCCCGGCAGCCTGGGGCGGGACACTCCAGGAGTCTGCAGCAGCACAAAAATGTCCTTTTTAGTCCGGGCTCTTGTAAAGGGCTTTTTCCAAGGAAGCACTTTAGAGAAGTCCTGCAGCAGTATCTGGTGCCCGTGCCCTGCCCATCGGCGGGGTTCCTGCTCAACCTGCAGAAACTGTTCCCTCTGGAGAGCCACCGAGGCAGCTGAGCTGGGCCCAGGACCAGGACCAGGCTTTGGGCCACGCAGCACAAACCACCCAAAGCCACCAGAGGGTCTCCGAATCTGGAGGTTTTCTGTCACACGTCCCTTCCGTGCCGGTCTTTGTAAAAATAAATCCAGTGTTACTTTGAGATCTCTGCTTTTCCGGGTGTTCCTTCTCCACGTGCACAGCCCTTATCAGGGCAGGGCGCCCTTATCAGTGCCCAGCTGCCTAAACCGACCTCCTCCCGATTTGCATTAACGGAGCTTTCACTTCTCTAAAGACCTTAATGAATTTCTGCCATTCCTGACCTCTCCTCAGCGGCCAGAACACACTTTTTTCCCCTCTTTCCAATCTGCAAGAAGCCTTAAAATAATAGCATTACTGTACTTCCCCAAAGCCGCTCGGGGAAACTCCGTCCCCGAGTGCCACAGGCAGCTCCACCTCAACCTCCGTGCCACAGAGGGGGAGATGGCCCAGAAGAAAACTGGTGGCTGTGCTGGGAGCTGGGCAGGAGCCGCGGGGCTCCCGAGATAAACCCGACCCCGCTGCGAGCGGGGCTGCGGGCGCACGCAGGAACCGGGGCGCAGCTGCAGCGCTTCCTGTTGCAGAGACAGCAGGAGAGCGCAGGATGGGCTGCTTGGCACCAGGAGGGCAGCTGGGGCGTGCTCCTGCCCGCTAGCACCCGGCTCGGCACGGCACCCAGGGCAGGACAGGAGCCTGGCGCAGGTAAGAGCTGCAGACCTGCCGCTGCAGGCTGCTGGGCTGGAGGGCAGCAGCGGCCAGAGGCAGCTCCAGGCACCTTCTCCCCCTCTTTTCACCCCACTTTCAGCCTGCACAGCTTGCACTGGGAAACTGCAACGTGAACCAGCAAGAAGCAAGGTTTTTTCGTGGTTTCCCTTGAAGCGAGAGGTGTAACAGCTCGGAAAGCAGAGATAGAGGACATGTTTAATTCCAGAGGGTAATTTGGGGTAGCAGAAGGAGGAAATGGAGCATTAGCTTGTCAAGAAAGCCTCCGGGGTTTGCTCAGCCCCCGGTGAGTAATGGACTGTGTTTCTTTAAGCTTTATCCTGCTTTTCAGTGCATTTTTGGTGAACTGAGGTTTTACAGCCGTGGGACAGGCTGGGCAAGGCAGAGGCAGCGCAGGTGGGAGAGGACTGAGCTTTTCCTGGTGGGAAGAGATGGATGAGTGGAGGCTGAGCAGGACACACAACTGGGCCTTTTCTAAAATGGAACAAAATGAGTGGGAAAATGCTCATTTTTGAATGAGCAGCACACACAACTCGGCCTTTTCTAAAATGGAGCAAAATGAGTTTTAAAACACTCAGCTTTTGGAGCAGTGTCCTGCCTGGGGCCTGTGGGCACCTTCCCCTCCCAGGGACCACGCCAGAAATACTGCTTGCTTCAAAGGAGGCCCCTACAGTAAAAGGTAGCACCAGGATTGAGCTTTGAGTACCACAAGGAGAGTAAAAAGAATTACAGAGCAGATTTTAGTACAAACTGAACAGCACGGAAGCACTCTGGATGTAACTGGCCCTCCAGAAGCACTGCCCGACACCCCACATGCACAAACCCTAGCAAGGGCAGGTTTTCACTCATCCCCCGTGTTTTGGCCTGGCTTCACAGGGCAGGGGCCCCGAGGGACGAGGCCAGCATGCCCAGGAGGGCACGGCCGCGCCCGGGCGAGAGCTACGAGGAGCGGAGCGAGCGGCGGCAGGAGGCGCGGCCGCGGGGCAGGGATGGCACCTGCAGCCACCCTGCCCGCCGGCCCGCCCCGCGGCCTGCCACCAGCCCCCGGCAGGCAGAGTTCCTCAGGAGGAGGAACCTGGCGCCAGAGGCCGGGGAGACCCTGCAGGGACACGAGCCCGAGGCACCGACCCCTCTGGAACCTTCCCCGCGGGTGGAGCGCGGAGCCAGCAGCCTGCTCCAGGTAACGCCTGGTGGGCACAGCCCGGAGCTCACCCTGCTCCAGGTAACGCCTGGTGGGCACAGCCAGGAGCTCACCCTGCTCCAGGTAACGCCTGGTGGGCACAGCCAGGAGCTCACCCTGCTCCAGGTAACGCCTGGTGGGCACAGCAAGGAGACAACACTGCTCCAGGTAACGCCTGGTGGGCACAGCCCTGAGCTCACCCTGCTCCAGGTAACGCCTGGTGGGCACAGCCAGGAGCTGATCCTGCTCCAGGTAACGCCTGGTGGGCACAGCCAGGAGCTCACCCTGCTCCAGGTAACGCCTGGTGGGCACAGCCAGGAGCTCAGTCAGGAGCTGATCCTGCTCCAGGTAACGCCTGGTGGGCACAGCCTGGAGCTCACCCTGCTCCAGGTAACGCCTGGTGGGCACAGCCAGGAGCTGATCCTGCTCCAGGTAACGCCTGGTGGGCACAGCCAGGAGCTGATCCTGCTCCAGGTAACGCCTGGTGGGCACAGCCCGGAGCTCACCCTGCTCCAGGTAACGCCTGGTGGGCACAGCCAGGAGCTCAGTCAGGAGCTGATCCTGCTCCAGGTAACGCCTGGTGGGCACAGCCCGGAGCTCAGCCCAGAGCTGATCCTGCTCCAGGTAACACCTGCCCTGTAGTTCAGCCCAGAGCTCAGCCCAGAGCTCAGCCCGGAGCTCAGCCCGGAGCTCATCCTGCCCCAGCCACCACCAGAGCATCACACCCAAGTCAAACACAGCCCAAATGCAGAGTGAACAGACAAAAACGTGCGTTTCTCACAGTCCCTGCTCCTCTCCTGCGTGCCAAGCCCTGAACCACACGGAGCTTTTTCTGCCATTTCTCCAAGCACAGCTGCACCTTTCTGCTGCCAGGCTGCAGTTCTGCACTTGCACAAATTAATTTTACCCTTGATCAGTGAGCTCCGTCCTCCCTCACCCATGCTGTGAGCAGGAAGGGTGGAGGAGGCAGGAGACTCCTGGCACTCATTACCCTCCCCGTGCCACACAGGAGCCCAGAGGACTCCCTGCCTTCAAACACCTTTGTGCAGAACGCCCCAGGCAGATCTCCCTGTCAGTGTATTTCTGTGTAAAATTCCCTGGGGTCACAAAGCTGTGTGGGCTCAGACAGCTGAGCACGGGGTGATTTACACACACCCACCCCACACCAGGGTGAGCAGAGCAGTCACCCACCCCTGCTGCCACCTCAGCAGCCTCTGGGACAAGCTGTGAGGTGCAGGGCCTGCCCCTGTGAGCTGTGCAGAGCCCGGGGAGCAGAGCTGGCACCCCTGCCCAGCAGCCAAGGGGCAGCACAGACCCACACCAGGGCCCAGCTCCCGGCCACCTCGTCCCTTTCTGGGCTGTCATTCCCCAGGCAGCAGTCAGCAGGCTGCTGCCCACTCTGCCAGGAAGCTCTGGAGCTGCTGCAGCCAAAGCAGCAGAGCCCTGTGGAAGTGCCAGGGCTCCCTGGCATCTCTGCTGCCCCTCAGGCAGCCCCTCCCTGCAGGCACAGCCCCTGTTTGGGGCAGACACTGACTCCAGCCGCCCTCTCTCGTTCCAGCACCCCAGGAGCTGCCCCTCGCTGTCCCCTGCTCAGTCCCAGCTGAGCCCCAGCAGCCCCCGGGCACGAGGGGACTCTGTCACCACCCAAGGTACGTGAGGGCTGCTCAGATCTCCCTCAATGTTCCCTTCCCACCTTCCCATCCCCGTGGAGCTGTTTGGGATCAGCTGGCAGCTCCCCAGCCAGCATCCCCTCCTGTGCTGCTTCACCACCCCAGCCTGAGCTCTCCCTGCAGACTCGGGGATTGGGGATATTTTTCCTGGGGGAGGGCAAAGCAGTGCAGAGTGACCCCAGTGCTGTGAGCAGCTGCTGTGCCCAGGGCTGCCCCAGGACCAGCCAGGGGAGCGCCTTCACTGCAGAATAACTTCCTTTGCTTCTCTGCCAACAGAGCAGGGCTTTTCTTTGCCTCCTGTGCCCACTGGGCTGTCACTGGACACTGTTTAATAATGATTTATTTTTTAAATTTTATTGTATTTAAACTGGACACCCTCATGGAAAAACACCCTCGGCCCCTCAGGGGATCGTTCACAGCCTCTCCCTTTGCTCCCACAGGAACTCAGACCCTCCCCAGCCCCAGCTCAGCAGTGACAGACTCGAGCCAGCAGACAGAGTAAGCAGCTCCTGCCCCTGCCCTGCCTGGCAATGCCCACGGGGCAGCAGCTCAGCTGGGGAGGGGGTGTCCCGCTGAAGACCCTCCCTGACACCTCAGTAACACACTTTGTGTTTCATTTCAGCTGGGGAATAGCAGTTTTAAATAAGGTAAGCAAAGCACAGGTAATGACCAGCTGGAAGTGCTGGAAGTTAAACTGCTGTGGAAATATTTCCACTTCGCTGGAGAAACTAACCCAGTGGACCCCAGCAGACTCCCCTTCTCCACCCAAATATAGGCTGCTAGTCCACTTTTATTTAAAAATATTTAGTTTTTTGGAGCAAGTTCACGACATGTTTATAAACTGAAACAATCCTATTTTTAAACATCTGCCCTTTCCCTTTCAGGAAATGGTGCAGCTCTCCAACTACCTGAAGGTAGGTACCAACGAGTGCTCGGCACCCACTGGGACAGCTGCTTTTCATCAGGAATGACACATTTAAAATTATTAATACTGCTAAATGAAGGGGTGTTAAAACCCCAATTTTAACATGGCCAAAAAAGCCAACAGAGCTCAAAGACCTGGAGCCCCCAGGCCCTGGGCTGGGGGGCTCTGGGCTGTGCCCCCCCTGACCGTGTCCCCACCCCACAGGAGGCCCTGCACCGCGAGCTGCTGCTCAAGCAGAAGATGGTGATTTTACAGGAGCTGCTCTCCACTCTGCTCCAGGCTTCAGAGAAATCCTGGCAGGTACCTGAGAGCTGCAGGACCCCCATCACCTCCCCTGGTCCCCTGCCTCTCTGCTCAGGGAGGGTGGCACCAACTCAGCAGAAAAAATTCTTTTTGTTTTCTATGCAGATGCAAAATTAAGATGTTACATTTTTTGTAATATATGGGGCTTTCTTATAGGATCCTTAAATCAAACAATTCATGCCGTTGTGGCATTTTAAAAAAAGGGTTGTGAAAGTTCTGTTGGGGCAGAGAAGCGAGTGATTGGGTGAGGGGGCACAAAACTCCTGTTACACATCCTGTGGTGAGAAACTTCCTCCTCCCTCGCTCCTCCAATATAACGTGAGCAGGAAAAAACACTCGGCCACAGGCGCAGGAAGTGGCCAGGAAACCTCAGATAACAGACAGGTGGGTGCTCCTTGCTGCTCGCTGTCCCTGCTGCAGGAGAGGCTTTGTGCTGCCTCTTGCACGCCGCTGTTCCATCAGCCTGAAAATCAGCTTTTTATCCGCCTGAAAATCAGCTTTTTGTCCGCCTAAAATTCAGCTTTCCATCGCCTAAAATTCAGCTTTCCATCAGCCTGGCAATCCCCTCGGTGCTGGAGCCAACGGGCAGATGCTGCTGCTGGGAGGGGATTCCACGAGGCAGGTGGGGCTGGGGGGCTTCTCCAGGGGGTGCTGGCAAAGGGATGGATGATGGATGGATGATGGATGGATGATGGATGGATGATGGATGGATGATGGATGGATGATGGATGGATGATGGATGGATGATGGATGGATGATGGATGGATGATGGATGGATGATGGATGGATGATGGATGGATGATGGATGGATGATGGATGGATGATGGATGGATGATGGATGGATGATGGATGGATGATGGATGGATGATGGATGGATGATGGATGGATGATGGATGGATGATGGATGGATGATGGATGGATGATGGATGGATGATGGATGGATGATGGATGGATGATGGATGGATGATGGATGGATGATGGATGGATGATGGATGGATGATGGATGGATGATGGATGGATGATGGATGGATGATGGATGGATGGATGATGGATGGATGGAAGGAATCCATTGTGGCTTGAAGGGGCAAGTGAATGCACACTGCAGGGACAAAGCATTTCGTTCCTCCTCCCTCCACAATTTCACTTTGAGGTCAGAGAGACCTTCCTACCCCAGGTCTGTGCCTCAAATCCCCCACCAGCTGTAAAACTTGCTTGGCTGATTCAGAACTGCTGCCAGGTGAAGGGTGATGCTCAGTGAGTCTCCCCATCCCAAACCCTTCCATGATTTCTGCTCCGGAGCACAGGCAGGTTGTGCCTGATTGCCTGGCACATGGCACAGCCACATCTGTGCACAGCTGGAACCTGTGCAGACAGCAGAGGAGGACTGAGAAAAACCAGGCACAATATTGCACATCTAAAATTGCTTTTCAAAATTCCACCTACTTACTAAGAGCCTTTAGTTCTTTGCATCAACAACTGAACTGGGAAGATTGAGTCTTTGGGACTGTAAATGTGCTTCTGTGCAAATTTAACCAGTGCTGAGACACCGGGGAGTCTGGTTTTGCTTGGGTCTGTCAGCTATTCCTGTAGCATCGAGGAGTTTCTTTTCAGAGTCGTGACTTCAGACAGCAGTGGGCAGAGAGGATATTGGTGTTCTCAGTACGGGTGGTGGAAAACAGCCCACGTGAACTCTGCTAGAAGTGTTATCTGAATTTGCATGCAGTCTGCTTCCACAAAGCCTGAGCAGCCTGACTAACACCGAGAGATGATGACAGTGAGGAAAATGAATCATCACGGGTGCCCTCCGTCCCCTGCCCAGCTGCAGATGTTGCAACACAGAGCCAACCCATTTTCTAAGGAAAGCAGGAGAAAAGGCCGCTCCAGCAGCTGGAGCTCGAGGCAGGGAGGGAGCAGAGAACAGGGCTATCCGTGGGGACAGGCAGCAGCTGCATTTCTGCCAAAGCCAGCCAGAACAGCCCAAAATCCCCTCGCTTCTAGCTTGTCATGTCACTGCCAGCACCTGTACTCAGTAACCAGAGAAACTGCCTCAGGACAGGTTTTCAATCCATAGGAGCTTCACCTCCCCCATATCCCATTTATTCTGAGGCTGGGAAGGTTTAGAAGAGCTCCAAATTCTGAAGAGAATTTGATCTGATTACAGATGAAGGGAGAGAATGAATCAGGACACAGCCCAACAAAACATTGGGGGCACATCGTGCAGTTCATGACTTCACACCTCACTTCAACTGCTTCTCCCCAGGGCCAGCTGAACGAGGACAAACTGAGGTGCAAACTACGGGTGCTGGAAAATCAGCTGCAGGCCTGCACCCAGGTAATGCTGATTCACTGACAAACACGGGTGAGAGAGGCAGGAAAACAAAAACCAAGCCTTGAACTGGGCCGAGTCTCAGTTTGGTCTCAGTTTCTATGAGATATCTATCCGAAAAGGAATTCAACTCTGTGCTGAAGCAATGCTTCACAGCACATTAGCAGCAGCATTTACACACTCTGGGTTTGCCAATACTCAGGTTTAGCAAGGTGGGAATCTGACAGATGAGCACTTCAAGCTCTTTCTTTCTTTCCAGAGTTACTCTAAGGAGTGTGTGCAGAAGATCCTGATAGAGATGGAGGACCAGAAGCAGACCTATGAGCAGAAGGCAAAAGAGGCTCTTCAGAAGATGCTGGAGGACAAACTCCTAACAGAGCAGCAGCTGCAGAACTCCCAGGTGAGCAACAAGTCTTACACCTGGCTTGGCTTTAATTTAGCCCAACTGTGATAAAGAAAACCCACATGTCAGGGAAAGGTGATGACAGGCTTGCCATTAGCAGCAAAGATAAAAAAATATGAAGTTTTAACTACTCAGCAAAGCCCAAAGCAGCTTTAATGCAACCTGTGCTCACTGCACGGGCTGCACATCACGTTACAGACAGCTCACAGCTGGGGAGATGTACTCGGGTTTGTCAGCTTGAATTGCAACCCCTTCCCCCCCCACCATCCCTCTGGGCCGTTCCCTGCCCTGCTCACGCCAACAGACCAGGGCACGAGGTCTCCAGAGCTGCTTTTTCTGGAGCTGCTCATTTATATGAAAATAGCTTTTCCCCAAGAGGCAGCAAATTGCTTTGACCCACAGGATAAGTGGTGTTTGCAGAAAGACAAGTGAGCTTTATGCCAAGCAGCACCAGGCTCCTCAAGCCTGCTGGAGCACAGGAACGGGTTGCAGAGGGAGCATTGCCCTGCTTGGCTCTGTCCATCAGATGGCATCAGCCCCACGCGGGCTTTGTGTGCTGCTGCTCGGGGAGCCAGCACAGCCCAGCACAGCTGGTGTCACCAGGGCAGGCTGGCAGCATCCCCCCACCCCTGGGTCACCCCCACCCCTGGCTCCCTGCTCTGCTCCCCAGAGAAGCCTGGCAGAGATGCGAGAGAGCCTGGCCCTCTGGAAGGAGCACAACGCCACACTCAAAGCCGAGCTGACCAAGGAGACCACAGCACACACCGAGCTCAGGAACAGCTTCCAGGCTTTGCAGAGCGAGCTCCAGGTACGCCAGCTGCCGGCAGGAGCAGCTTGCTCTGGGGATTTGCTGCTGCCGGGCTGCCCCCAGACCCCCGGCAGTGCCCTGGACACTGGGGCTGGCAGCAGCCTGGGCAGCGGAGGGCGGCGCGGGGGCAGGACGAGGCGAGCTGTGATGCCCTGCCAAGCCGGCCCGGTGTGTGTGTGTGTCTGTCCGTCTGTCCTGGCGCAGCGAGCGGACGCGCAGAGCCAGCGGCTGGGCCGGGAGCTGCGGGCGCTGCGGGACGAGCGCGCGGAGCTGCTGCAGAGAGCCAGCGCCCTGCGCAGCGACAACGACCGCCAGGCCGGCCACATCCGCCACATGCAAGGTACCCGGCGGGGCTGAGCAAGGTACACGCAAGGTACCCCGGGCTCGTTCCGGTGTGCCACAGAGCTGCTGAGTGCCAGAGCCCTCCTGAAGGTGCTCCTGGCTAGATTAAAGAGTTCAGAGAAGTGGCTTTGCTGGAGGAAAGGATGTAATGGGGGACCTGAAAAGAAATAAAAACCTAAGGTGTGTCCTCAGCTTGAAGCAGGACTTTCCTCCCTTGGCAGAGCATCAGACAAAGCCAGTGCTGCGTGGTGAGGGCAGCACAGAGGAACTGATAATGTCCTTCAGACACAGGCCAGGAAACTCACACACGTTATTTTAAGCCCACACATGGCTGTTTTAAAGCATAATTAGGGAAGAGAAAGCGGGTTGCAGTTCTAATCTCATAATGGGTCTTGCATGAACGGCTTTAAAATAAAACCATAAATGACTTGAACATGAGGCACGAGAGAAAAAGCTGCCAGAAAAGAAAGGGCAATAAACAGCTAAAAATGACATCCCTTCAGAGAAGAAAGTCCAGGGCAGCCAACAATATCTGCTCCACTCTACACATGTGGAGAACAGAAAAGTACCACCCTTGCATAAAGATACATATTTATACCAACCTTGATCTTCTATCCTTATTTCAGATAAATTGCAAAAAGAACAAGAGCAGAAAGTAACACTGGAGGCAACAATCAGCCACTTGCAGAGTAAGTAACACAGAAATGCACAAAGTTAGAGACCTCCTTTAGTGCTGTAGACGATAATGTTGCTTTTTGTGTTCCCAGACTTGATCCAGAACCAGCACAACCAACAGAAGAGCCAGCAGGTGGAGGTGCAAAGGACAGGTCAGCAAACTTTGTAACCCCCACGTAGCACTCCCTGGACACAGGAACACTAGCCCTGACTCTAGGAAAAGTCTGCAGTGCTTTAGAACAAAGGGTTCTTTTAGAGCTACACAGAATGAGTTGTTTTGCAAGCTAACATTAAAACATAAAAGTATTTATTATGGCAAACACTTTAAAAAATAAACAGATTTCACTGCAAATTCTACTTCAGTGGCTCCGCCATATTTTTTCCAAACAAAACACATTCCAGTGTATAATTGCAATTACAGCTGTACTTGACAAAAAGAAAGCAAAAAAAAAAAAAAAAAAAAGGCGTTTTAACTCTCCCTCCCCTCCATTTCTGGCAACTGCTCAGAAATATTGCTCTTAAGATGATGAGCTTGTAGCTACAGCAGAGACAGGCCTGCGATAACAAACGCAGCTCCTGTGTCCTCTGCTTTGTGCACAGCACACAAATATTATCCCTAAACTGTGCTGAGTAAACAAGAGCTAAAGCCAGCCCAGAGCCTGGAGCTGTTTCTCATCAGAAGCCTGACTCTTTTCTAGACCAGGTTTTCACCACACAGACCCCACCTCTCACTCCTGCCAAGGAAAAACAAAAAGCTCTGTCAGAGCACCCCGAGGAGGAGGAGGAGGAGGAGGGAACAGAAAGCCTGCAGGATGAGATGCAGAAAAGGACAGCCCAGCTCACAGCAAAGGAGAACGAGGTGAGGAAGTCACTCACAGAAACACCACAGCTCCTGCAGGTAGCCCAGGCTTGGTTCCTGTAAGGATTTTCTGCCCTAAATTTTATCCTGATCCACTCCTAAACCCCTGAGGAAGCACCTGCACACAAGGGCAGGGCTGCAGCAGCCTTGGCTGCAGGAGCAGAGCTCTCCCCGTACAAACCCCCTGCTCTCATGGACAGGAGAGCCTCAGCAGTCCCACAGGGAAAAGCCAAAGCCACACTTTAAGAGCCAAGCCCCTGAGCATATAGGAAGGAGAGGAGGCAAAGAAAATGCTTGTGATAATAACAATAATAAAAATAATAGCAAGGGCCTGCTAACAGAAGCAATGCCTATACAACTGTGCTGCAAAAAAAACCCCAAAAATCAAAGCTTTACAGCCTTTTACACACAGTTTGCCACCAAACCAGCCTTCTGCCAACCAACAGCCCCTCAATTCTTATAGCAGTGTTCAGCCAGCAAGGATTTATTAAAAAGGACTTACAAAAAAGTAATTTATAACTTTGTGTAGCAGAGCTGAGAGCCACGCAGGAAAAGAGCTTGTGCTGTGAGTGCTGGCAGCAAAGCAGGCACGTGTGGGAAGTTGGCAGTGCCCCAGCAGCACGCTGAGTGACACTGAGCTGTGCCCTGTCCCTGCAGGCACCCCAGGACACTGCAGTGACTCTGAGCTGTGCCCTGTCCCTGCAGGCACCCCAGGCACCCCAGCACACTGCAGTGACACTGAGCTGTGCCCTGTCCCTGCAGGCACCCCAGGCACCCCAGCACACTGCAGTGACACTGAGCTGTGCCCTGCAGGTACCCCAGGACACTGCAGTGACTCTGAGCTGTGCCCTGCAGGTACCCCAGGTCACTGCAGTGACACTGAGCTGTGCCCTGTCCCTGCAGGTACCCCAGGACACTGCAGTGACACTGAGCTGTGCCCTGTCCCTGCAGGTACCCCAGGTACCCCAGGTCACTGCAGTGACTCTGAGCTGTGCCCTGTCCCTGCAGGCACCCCAGGACTCTCGGGCAGAGCCAGGCCGTGCCCGGCTGAAGCGCTGCACCCACTGCAGCAGCCCAGTTGCTCGGGGGGCACGCGGAGCCCAGGGCACCCCTCCTGCTGAGAGCCCCTCGCTGTGCTTGCAGTGCTCGGAGCTGCGCGCGGAGCTGGAGGCGCTGAGCCAGGAGTACCAGTCCTGCCTGACCCGGCTGCGCCAGTGCCGCGACGAGCTCAACCGCTCCCATGGCAGCCAGGCACAGGTGGGAGCTCCCGCCCCGAGCCCAGCAATGCATGCCAGCCTGGGACACAGCCCCTCAGTGCCGTGCAGGGGGCATTTGCTGGGCTGGCATGGGAAGTGGCATCCCCCAGCACGCTCCTAGTAACACAAGCTTCTCCCGCAGAGACGGCGCGGTCCCTGGATCCCTCTCCTGGTGGCAGTGGCAGCAGTGGCCATCGCTGCCTTCCTGGCGACTTACAGGCTGTGAAGGAGCTCCTGGATGACTGACTTCACTGCAGGAACTGACCTCTGCTTCACCGGGAGCAGCCTGGCCTCACCTCACCTTCTGCTGTTTTGTACATGCACATTGGGTTTGTATCCCGAGCTCTCTCACTCCAGCCAGCTCCTGTGACCATGGGGACATCACCCCTTCCCTCAGCTGCTGGGGTTACTCTGTTCCGAGCTGGTTATTCTATTCCAAGCTGTCTCACTCCAGCCAGCTCCCATGAACACGGGGACAGGACATCACCCCTTCCCTCGGCTGCTGGGGTTACTCTGTTCCTGCCCCGAGGCACCGAGGGACAAAGCCCCTGTGCCTGCTGCTGCTGTGGCTCGCACAGAGCAAGAGGGACAGGGCATCCTGTGCCCCTGGCATCCAGCCTGTCTGGGGTTTATGCCCCCAAGTTCTCCTCCTGTATTTTTGCCTCCCTAAACGGGAGGTTCTCGATCCTGGGCTCTCTACTCTTACCTGACAAAGGAACCAGCTCAGGGGGGCTCCTCAGCACAGTCCCCTCGTGTGTCCTGAGCGATTCTCCCACCCCACACCCTCTGCTCTATCCCACTCCAGCCTCTCCCGTGGCCCAGCATCCCCACAGCCATACCCGCTTGCCCTTCACTGCCAGCACAAGAATTCACCAGAGACAGGGGTTTAAAGTCCCTTTTGCAGCTGCACCGTGCAGGTTTTCCAGCAGCACTGGCCCATCATTCATGTGCAGGCTCAGACACAATGCAGGCCATGACACCACCTCCCAGGGAAGGAAATACACCTGAAATATACACGTAATGTACACAGAGTAAATACACATGGAGCCTACAATAAACTTCACTAATTCAAAGCATGGTGGTATTCAAATCATTTATTAAATTTCAGCTGCCCACTGCAAATAAATACACACTGACTTTGCAGGGTGCGAAGTGCAGGCAGGCAGGACCGAGGCAGCAGAGCATCTGGGAGCACACTCGGGCATTTTTAAGAAAATGTATTTGGTTTTGCCACCGGCCTGCAGTGACTGTCACAATTCAGCCTTCAGTGCTCAAGGACCACGAGAGATGCTGGGGACAACACACACAGGGAGCTGGATCTTCTGCCTTGGTCCCTGATGCAGTGATGAAGGCTAAAAAGTCTGAGTACGCTCGTGTTTTACAAGGCAACCGCTGGAAGAGACACGACCTCGCTGGAAATGCAGAGATCTACGAAATCGCTCTGAGCACTGAAAGCCTCCTTGAGCTCCTGGCTCCAGGCATCCAGCACGTCCCGGAGCTCGGCGCAGAGGCTCTCGGGGACGCTGAAGGAGTAGATCTGCACCCTGAGCCCGTCCTTGATGCGGGGGCAGGAGGCCCGGGCCGTGAACACCCTCAGCGGGGTCAGCGCCAGGCAGTTCTCGGCGCCCTCAGCGAAGGTGTACACGGCGGGGTAGCCCAGCAGCACCCCGGCCACGGTGCACAGGTTCCACCCGCTGGCCACAACCTCGCTGGCGGTCACCGGCTCGGCGCCGGCGGCCTCGGCGTGCCGCAGGTGGCCCATGAGGGCGGCGAGGTGGCGGCGCACGGCGCGGGCCTGCGCCGGGCCGCAG